GTGTTCTTAAGTGGACATAAGTGATCCCAATAAACTATTCAAAGAAGAGCAGGCAAGCTCATCCTGGTGTTGTGGCCAATATTTATCCCTTGATCGATCGATCACTGAATCAGATTGTCTGGTCATCATTACATTACTCTTTGTGGGAGTTTGCTGTGTAGAAATTAGCATGCATCATGCATCACAACAGTGATTACACTTCATGAAGTACTCAATTAAATGTACAGCACTTTGGGATACATGTGGTTCTGGTGGACAATGCTATAAAAATGCAAACATTGTGCTTTGTCCCCTCTCTCCCAGTCATGTGACTGGAGTGATTGGCACGTTGAACCCTTGACAACGTTTGACAGTGATCAGCAATAATCTATATCTGTCGTGACTTTGAGCAATGATGCAGGCAGGCATGCCTGATCGGTGACTTTAAGATCATGATTTGTGACATCAATTCAGGTTGATGAGAGGCACGCCCCTGAAACATTACAACACAATGTATTTCTGAGGATTCCCCTGCTGTTTAATTACAGAAATATTTATTTTATATCAATTTGGATTCTTTCTGTACTGGGGTCTTTCCTCCAAATGACAAATAGTTCAAGGAAAGTTTGTCAACTGCGAACCTGCAACATTCTCTGAATGTCTATTATTTCAAAGCACTTTTACAAAATAAATTCTCAATTAAAGGAAATACAAATTTAAAATAAACAATGAATGACTTGCAATTATATACAGCCTTTCACAAAGTCAAAATGTTCCAAAAACTTTCCAACTAAAGAAGGACTTTTTTGTGCAATCACTGTTTTACAGTAGGAGATTTGATAGCCAGTTTGTGTTAAACGAGATTCCACCGACAGCAATAACATAATGATTGGACTATAGTCTTTAAAGATGAATGTTGGACAGAGCTGCAGGGATATTCCTCCTGTCGTTCAAAATAGAACCGTGGGACCTTTTACACTGCCCTGCCTGGGCCTGGTTTAAGGACTCATAATGAAAGAAAGCACCTCGAACAGTGCAGCACTCTCAGATCAGTTCAGCCTGGATGATTTAAAGCGATTGCAGTGTATCTTAATCTACAATCCTCTTCAGAGGGGAAAATGTTCCCCTCTGAAACAGAAATAATAATTTTATTTGGAAAAAAAACCATGAAGGGTAATATAAAAGAGGTTATGACACTCACCCTCTGCTGCAGATGAGCTGCAGAGCCTCCAAATGGCCGTGATATGCCGCCCAAAGCGTCGGGGTCATTCCATCCTCATCCGGACTGTTCAGATCCCTCTTTGTGGCCTCCTTCAGGGCACCTAGGTAGCCATCCCTGGCTGCTTTGTGGTACCTCTCAGTCATGGTTCAAATCCTAAGGCTGGCCTACACACACACACACACCGCTGGCAGCTGGAGTGAAGCAGCCAGTGATTAAGAACCCGGAGATGGAGTGGCACCGCCCAGGGTGGGACATGAGGGACAAGGTCCACTCTCCAGAAACTGCAAATTTAAGGCAGGCCAGCTGACGAGATTATCGGGTGTTATTTCCCCTGTTACTTCCTCCTGTTTCTTGAACACATTTATGTAATTTAAACATTGTTTGGTGTAAAATGCACCCTGCAAAAGGGCACCGTTTGTCTAAACTGAAAAACAAACGAATGTCTGTGTTTGCATGTCAGTTGTCTCTTGCATTGTTTATCCGATAAATACTTCAATTGTTTTTTGCATTTTCACAATGCAAGGTTCCCGCTGCTTCGCATCGATTGTGTCTCTAATATTTGCAACTAAATACTGAGCGGTTTTTTTTGTCATTTTAGTTTTATCTTTTTGTTTAGGAAACATGGATCCGACCTTAAAGTGTAATAACAGTATAACACCAACCGACCTTTGAATTATAGGTTGATGTCAAAACTGCAAATTCTCTTCCCATTCGATGTCCTCGAGTTGTAATAAATTATTACGGTTGAGAAGCGAAATGTAAATTATAATGATGTTCAATGGGAAAGTAAGACGCTTTGAGAAGCAACCGCTTGCAGCCAGAGATACACAGGATATTGGGGTAAGGGGGGTGGTGAGTGGTGGTGGTCAGTGAACCATTAACGACAGATTCAGTCATTTCGTCGGGAGATTGTTTATGCCAAACTAGACGAACACACTCAGAAATTACGCAGTAAATCAGGGGTCCTTAATATGTCAGAGAAAATGAGTGCAGCTTATAATCGAAACATGGAGAATTACGTTTATTTATATCGCAACTTTCACGTCCTTTCACGTCAAACAATTTTTTCTGTAACCAGTGAAGCACTTTTTGAAGTGTACACTAGTGAGGAAACAGCAGCCAAGCTTCCACGTACAGTATCTCTGTGAATATTGTTGTGAGCACCGACATTATAACACCGACTACATTCAAAACGAATTGGCTGCGATACAGCTTGGTCGGTCTGATATACAGATGCAACTGGTTGACGCTCCTAATATTACCAGTAGGTGTGAAGATGAGAGGGTAATTCATGCAGATTTCTCCCATTGCTGGCTGTGGTTGTGGCGATTAAAAGTACCTCTGTACACATGATTTAAAACAACCTAGCCCCTGTGTGAGAGGGTTGGTATCTCCCGCAAAGTGACAAAATAGATAAATGATTTGATAACTCTTTGATCGAACATTACCCTTTATTTTCTCTTATAGATACTCATTAATTTGACATCTGCTTGCAACATTTTCTGTTTGCATTGAATAACGGAACAGGTTTCAGGGGCTCAATGGTCCACCCTTGCTCCTAACTCTTTTTGTTACTGTTGTTTTTGTTCTTGTTTCAGAGCTGCAACGTTTGCATCTTTTAAAAAGAAATAAAGGTGAGATTGTGAGACTGCAAACTTTTAAAAATGTCCAAAGTGCAACCTTTTAAACACAAGAACTGACATTTCCTGCTGCCCAATTCATCAGCCACATTTGAAGACTGGTAAACCCAGATGTGGCAGATTCCAGTTCTGAATGGTAAGTGAAAAATGAACAATGGACACGAATTTTTTTTAAATTCACTCATGGGATGTGGTTGTCACTGGGTGGGCATTTATTGCCTATCTCTGATTGGGAAGGTGGTGAAAAGGTGATGGTGAGTCACCTTCTGGAAATACTGCAGTCCATGTGCTGAAAGTAGACCCACAATTCTGTTAGGGAGGGAGGTCTATAGGATTTGGACCCAGCAATGATGAAAGAATGGTGATATATTTCCAAGTCAAGATTGTGACTGGCTTGGAGGAGAACTTGCAGCTTGTAGTTTTCCCTTGTATTTGTTGTCCTTGTATTTCTCGATGGTATTGATCACAGGTTGGAAGGTACTGTCTAAGGAGTCTTCTTGAATTTCTGCAGTGCATCATGTAGATGGTATGCACTGCTACTACTGAATGTTGGTAGTGGAGCAACTGAAAGTTTGTGGGTGTAGTACCAATCAAGTGGACTGCTTTGCACTGGATGGTGTTGAGCTTCTTGAGTGCTGTTGTGGCTGCACCCATCCAGGCAAGTGGGGAGTATTCCATCACACTCCTGACTGGTGCCTTGTTGATGATAGAGAGGCATTGGGGAATCAGGAGGTGAGCTATTTGCTGCAATATTCCTAGCTGCTGACCTGCTCTTGTAGCCACTGTATTTATGTGGCTAGTCCAGTTCAGTTTCTGATCAAAGATAACCCCCCAGAATGTTAACAGTGGAGGATTCAATGAGGTTTATGCCAGTGAATGTCAAAGGGCAATGATCAGATTCTGTCTGGTTGGAGACAATCATTGCTTGGCATTTGTGTGGCACAGATGTTATTTGCTACTTGTCTGCCCAAACCTGTATATTGTCCAAATCTTGTTGCATTTGAACATGGACTGCTTCAGTATCTGAGGAGTCATGAATATTGCTGAACATCGTGCAATCATCAACAACATCCCCACTTCTGACTTTATGATAGAGGAAAAGTCATTGATGAAGCAGCTAAAGATGGTGGGCCTAGGACACTACCTTGAGGAACTCCTGCAGAGATGTCCTGCCGCTAAGATGACTAACCTCCAACAACCACAACCCAACCATCTTTCTTTGTGCCAGAGATGACTCTAACCAGTGGAGTGTTCTGTCCCTGATTTCCATTCATTCTAGTTTTGCTAGGACTCCTTAATGCCACACTAGGTCAAATATGGCATTAATGTCAAGGTCAGTCACTTCCTCCTCACCTCTGGAATTCAGGTCTTTTACCAATATTTGAACTAAGGCCCTAATGAAGTCAGGAGCTGACTGGCAGAACACAAGCTGAGCATCAGTCGCCTGATAGCATTATTGATGAAACTCCTATCACTTTACTAATGATCGAGAGTAGTAATTGGGCATGTTGGGGATTTATCTTGATTTTGATGGACAGGACATATATGGGCAATTTTCCACATTATTGGAAAATGTCAGAGGATCTTCATGTTCGTTTTTTGATTGCTGTGGCTATTATATTTGCTTGGTTACTAGCATTTTTGTCTTACAAAATATACTCGATTCATAATTTATCTATATAATTACAAAAAATTCGAGTCGGACATTACATTAGATTGAATAAAAATTATATTTCTTAGTTAAACATTTTGTACTCCTAAGTGCGTCAATCCAACCGCAAAATCGGCACATTTACTGAATTTGACCAGAAACTATATACATTTCAATACCAGCTACAAAGGGGTTCCGTACGTTAACAGCCTCTCGGTACATGATGATGGAAAGACCTCAGTTTTGGATGCGTGAGGAACATACATGTTTTCTTTTACTGTTAGTGCCTCTGACTAAATCAGTGTCTCTATGCCACACTTGGATGTTCAATGTTTGTTCTTTTTTTAACGCCGGAATACGCTGGGTCCGATTTTAACCCTGCAAATGGCTGGATTTTAAATGAGTTTGCCTACCGCCCAATTCTGTCTCCAGCCGGACGTCCTTGAACATTTTCACCAACAGAGGGCGTGGGTCTGCTCAGAGTATTTCTCCGAGAGGTGGGTGGAGCCGGCGTTAAAGGAAGTCTCTGTATTTTCTATAGATTGGCGAACAGTCCTGCTTTCATTTCCTGGAATTATAATGAAGGGCTCTGCTACCTCTTCTCTTGCTTCCTACGAGACACTTGTGCACGCAGTGGCTGGGGTGGTGGTAAGTTGTGGGATGACCTGGAGTTTAAACAAATCTTTTACCGTGGATACACCGTGCATGAGGCACTTTAGAACCACATAACACCCCGGTTCCCGAACCTCACCGGGAGTGTGTTAGGTGAAAACTGGAGCTGAGTTCTTCCTCCGGGTAACCCGCCCGGTTAAAGAGTCAGCCCAGCGTTCATTGCAGTGTTCTGTTGAATGTAACATGCTCTGAATTTTACATGTGAGCAGCCAGGGTTGAACTACATCCACACTCCAGCCACAGATCACCTGGTTGGGTTTTGTCAATGTGCAAACCCAATCACTGTGTTACTCTGTGATTAGCTGAACGTTTCCGCCCGTTCAATGCAGATTTAGGTTAAATCTGTCCCGAGGTAAAAAAAAAACACTTGAAAGACCCATCTCTAAGAGAAAGTTTGAGAAAGCTTTTTTCAAAGGATGAAAGAGGTAGGCTCCTGGATCAGCTGAAGCGTGCTCTCCTGCTGATTCATTTCAGTTTCAGTGGCACAGTGTTTAATGCATCTCAAATCTTTGGAAATGACCCCAGGGATTGAGTGTCGATGTCATCTCTCTCCCCTCATTAATCTAACAAACATTTCCCTCAGCAATTTCCTGTGGTAGAATTTCGGAGCCTTTCTGTCGCACTGAAGAGGCTGCAGAAACATTGATCCCTCTGTCAGCTCCCCTGTGACTGGATGTTTTCATGTGATTTTCCTTCTCGCAACGTGCTTGTGCAACTGCCTTTTCCACGAAGACAATGTTCTTTAAAACACGGTTTGATCTTGTAATCAGTTCTAAATGTAATAATTATATCATCACTGCCACAATATCACCCGTCTATCGCAACTATATATGTTAAGGCTTGGTCATGAATGTTTTCTTTTCAATTTGTTTTTTTTGGTTATTCTTTTGTTTTAAGTAAGGCGTGGATTTCATTAAGAGCACATTATAACTGCTTTCACTTTCTTGCAACACTCACCCTGAACCACGTGATCACATCATCTAGATTGTTGTCCAGCGCAATGCTCAGGGGTTGCTGCTGTTGGAAATTCTTTATCTAGAACATCAAAGTGTGAGTCCCCGTGATTTTGCAGGTTGATTCAATAACTTTAGCAGCACTTTTTAAAAAAAAAAGTAGGGGAGGGAGTTCTGCTAACACTCTGGATAACATTTATCGTCACCAATAACTGATTCCCATTGATGTGCACATATTGGCTGCCATACATAACAATGATTATACATAAAAAAGTACTGGAAGGAACTTTGTAATAGAAAGGATGCTACATCAATGAGATGACCTCACAAAGCATCTTTTCATCCCTTGTCATTTAGTCGAACAAGTCATCAAATGACAAGTGGACGTGGTATTAGTTATGTTTTGGTCTTAATTGAAATACTTGTAATACAACACTAGTCTTTGTTTATTCTAACACTATAATTGGCAGAGAGTACTAGTGTTGCTTCACGTCCTTATAATGAATTTAGAACCTGCCTTTTTCTAAACGCTTTAAGACCGTTAGAGTGGGGGTTATTTTTGTTTCATTCCAGTTATTGAAACTAAGCTCAGTCTGTGATCCTGTCAACGAGGAACTCCAGGACGTGACTGGTTTTAGCAGAGTTTTGAAGATTAACTTGTCAGGTGGGACATCCTTCTAAAGATTTGATGGCATTGGGTTGAGGTTAGCTGGGACAGATCAGTGTCTTCGGACTAGAGAGAATACCTGTCAGCACTCCCTCTGCTGATTACTGTTACATGCACTTTGGAAGATGCAGAATAACACCTGCTCCCTCACCTTTTATTTTCTGCAGGGTAGTGTGACTGCTACAACAACATTTTTCCCTTTGGATACTGTGAGGATACGACTTCAAGGTAGGAATTCTAACACAAATAACCCAGTTTACGGTGAATCTAAAGTTTCTATAGTACAGTACACTAGTTACAGCCCTGAATCACAGCAAAGAATTAGAAAGCTAAGTGCTTCTGTGTTGGTGAAATTTGGAGCTTTTATAATGATCTTGTTTATTATGACATTAGTTTTTTTGATTAAAATATTCCAAAAAAAATTATAATTCAAAACAACGTGTTCCACATGTCTTTCACCATGGTGAGACAGTGCACCAAAGTTCTACAGACTTTTTTTTAGTATTAAGTGGATACAAAGGTGGAGAGAATTAAAGGACTAGGCCAAGCAACCGACTCCAAAGAAAACAGAGGGAAGGAGTCACGTGAAGAATTTCAGGAACAGCAGCAGGTCATTCAGTTGCTCCAGCGTACTCTACATTAAACCACATCGTGGATGATCTGTTTCTGTCTAACGTTCTTCGTTTTATAAACCTTAATAAGGTTATCTAATAAAAAAAATCAATTAATTAACCCAGTCTTCTTCTTTTGGGGTAAGTGAATTTCAGAATTTAGTTGGGTATTCCTGATGGCAGGATTGCAGTGAAATGAGGAGTTTGGTCAATGAGTGAAGATTTGCAAATATGGTTGCAATGCTTAGAGGGGTTACTGAAATGACTTCCGGTATTATGCAGCAGCATATGGGTGTTTGAAAATGAAATGAGGGTCTCAAGATGAACTGTGAATTGGAAGAGTTAATTTAAGAAAAAACAAATAAAGCTTTGACTGTTGTCTAGATGCAACTGATTAATTATTTTCTAACTAATAGTTTTCCAATTTCACAAATAAATTAAGTACACATCTACTTTTTTGCAACATTCCATTTGCTTCCTTGGCTATCTCATGATCATAAAGTTGGTTTGGATGGAAGAGGTCCTTCAGCCTTTCTGGTCTTATGCTTTTAGAATACTAGCCTTATCAGCACCCATGACACAATCTAATGTTTGTTTAAACATTAGTCCAGTGTCCTGGCCATGACTGTCCATTTGGACAGCAATAGCACTAATGATTTTATCAAGTAAACCATGGATGTGCCTAATGTGGATAAGTTGTCAAATTGTGAATAAGTATCCTTACGCTAAAGAGAAACTTGGACACCAGTGAATATAATGATGTAAATGTACAAGGACATTTACAGAGTCTGTCTGCACAGAGTGATTATGGGATTGAGGTGTTTTAAATGAATAAAACAAACAGTTGTCTAAATTGAGTACAATTGAATGCAAGTACATTCATGGCTAGTGATTTATATTGTTTAATAATAATAATTCAGGTTTCAACACCCCTTATTTTTTCCTGTGTTTACTTTAGTTGATGAAAAACGTAAATCCAGCTCCACACCTGTGATATTGGCAGAAATTGTGAAAGAGGAAGGCTTGTGAGTAATACATAACTTGCTGCACAAACAAATTTGACACAACTGGTCCACCTTGGTGTTTATGCCCACCACATGTCTTTAACTTGGTTTCTTTTTCTATTCCTTTTTCCCTTTTGTTTATGTAGTTTTACATTATTTAAAGAGTTCTGATCTTTTAAATGTTGTATGATTCAATATATTTATTCTATAAGTGATGCTCACCAGGCAATGTCTTGTACCAGAGTGCAATTTGTAATTATTGGAAATTTAGGTTTTCAGAATAAGTGGTGTGTTCAGACGTGGCGGTTTATTTTGTATCAAAGCAATTCAAACAGATTTAATGACTTAAAATGTAATTAGTTGGTCATTCAAAGTAAAACAATGGCATCTGGGCAGAGCTGACAGATTTTATTGTTTAAGATCTGTAACCTTCATAAGACAGTCACATTTTCCGTAGGATATACATGCAGAAAATTCCAAACCCTATTTTTCCCTCTTCCTGATGCTGGTTTGCCTTCATAAATAGGTTACATTTAAAAATAATAGAACTCTAACAAGAACTTTGATATTTAGAAAAAACAAGTAGTAATATATTTGCAGGTTTATTTGTTCTGCTCACTATGTTGGAAATTGAAATGTGTAATTTCCCATGGTTTAGAAGCTATTAATTACTAAATACTCAGTGGTGTGGATTGCTCAAAGAAATGTCACAATGTCAGCACAGAATGCTGAACCTCTCTTTTCTCCTTTTCAGATCAGCTCTATATCGTGGATGGTTCCCTGTTATTTCTAGTGTTTGCTGTTCAAACTTTGTTTATTTCTACACATTCAACAGCCTGAAGTCGATGCTGGTGAAGGGTAATGCCAGGGCCACACCAGGCAAAGATCTGCTGATGGGTTGCATTGCAGGTAGACAGTGATGTGTAATGGGATTGCAAGCTGTCCAATATGGCAAATACAGAGATTCTTATCTGAATTGCTGGATTCTAGATACTCCTGCACTTGATTCCTGATCAGTTGAGAACTGTACGAGAACATCATTCCTAGAATTTGACCTTTAGTTCTTTAATGGTAAATGACAGACAGTTATAAAATAAAGACAACAAAATAAACTTGTACTTCTATTGTTCTTTAACAAAATAAAACATCCCACTATCCTTCGCTGGTGAATTATAAAACTGACACTGAGCCATATAGGAAATATTAGGTCAGATGACCAAAAGCTTGGCGAATGAAGTAAGTTTTAATGATTGTCTTAAAGAGAAAGGAGGGGCAGAAAATTATACAGCGGAATTTCCAGAAGTTAATACTTAGGCAGCTGAAGACATGACGATGGTGGAACAATGGACATCTGAGATGTGCAAGTGGCCAGATTAAAGGATTGCAGATATCCCAGAGGGTTATAGGACTGGAGGAGGTTACAGAGATAGTAAAGAGCATGGAAGGATTTAAAAAGAAAGATGAGGATTTTAAATTCGGGGTATTGCCCAAACAGGAGCCATTGTAGGTTTGTGCACAAGCGATGAGTGAACAAGACTTTGAGAGTAACGACGTGGCAGCAGAATTTTGGACAGTCTCAAATTTATAGAAGGTAGAATAAAGATAACTGCTATTTTGCACAACTTCACAATAAACTAAGTTGCTCCTTGTATTTCTGAAATTTTAGCATAAAAATCTGTACCACGCCTGCACTGGAGCACTTGCCAAAATGATAAAACACATGACTGTGTTCTCAAAAGATAGGAAGTCTGTACTTGAACAATGAGACATTAGGTGGCCTGTGGAACTGAAGAGATTGTAAATGAAGGAATGTACAGATAGTGGGTGCACTCGGAACTAGTAAAAGTGAAATGTGGGCGGCATGGTGGCTCAGTGGTTGGCAGGGACCCGGGTTCGATTCCACCCTCGGGCGACTGTCTGTGTGGACTTTGCACATTCTCCCTGTGTCTGCGTGGGTTTCTGCTGGGTGCCCTGGTTTCCTCCCACAGTCCAAAGATGTGCAAGTTAGATGGATTTGCTATGCTAAATTCCCTATAGTCCCCAGGGATGTGTGGGATAGGTGCATTAGCCATGGGAAAATGTAGGGTTACAGGGATAGGGTAGGGGGATGGGTCTAGGTGGGATGCCCTTCAGAGGGTCAGTGTGGACTTGTTGGGCCAAATGGCCTGTTTCCACACTTGGGAGGGGCTTCTATGAAATGCCTGGTTTTTGGGTTGTGGCCTTGTCATTTGTTTAAATGAGTCAGGCACTTATGGTGGTTGGTTTTATCCAGCATTGAAGGGGTTCAGCAGTAGAGATAAGGACTGTATCAAATTCAGTTCCTCATTCTGTTCTAAATTAGTTGCTCTCAGTTGGGTGCAGGCTTGTTTTACTTGCCCTGGCCCCCTTTTGAGTTTGAGGTAATAAAACAGCCAGAATGCTCACCCCCAGTAACTCTCAGGCTTGTCTGAAATACATATATATGGAGAGTGCAGAAGGGAAAAGATTATGTTTACCCATGAAGACAAGCCATAATGACTTAGGACTAAAGATCATTAATAATAAATTACCACCTCATGGAGTGGGGAATTCCTGCATGGAACTGACGTTGGATTGATGATTAACAATTGGGAATAGATGGGATTTGGGGGGGTGGAATTCCAACTGGAAAGGAGATGCCAGGTACAGGTCCTTCAACCTTTCAGTTACTGGCCCATCCCTAATGTCCCTTGCAGGTGATGGTGAGTCACTTCTTTGAACTGTCACTGTCCATTTGGTATAGGTATAGTCCATGCTGTTGGGTTGGGAGTTCAAGGTGGCTTAGTGGACCTCAAAAGTCAACCACATTGCTGTAGTCTTGGAGTCACATGTAGGCCAGACTAAATAAGAACATTGGGTTTTTATGACTATCTGGTACTTTCATGGTCACTATTACCGATACCATCTTTTTATTATAAAGTTGTTTAATTGAATGTCTCTGAAATCAATAGTCCAGACCTCCTGGATTATCAGTCACTGTAACATTACCACTCTTATTACAACTGATATTTTGGGGAGTATTTCTTAAAAAATTACTTAAGGTGATGGGGCTTCAATTTTATGACCTTCTAAAAAAATGGTGTCAACCAAAGCAATAAATTGACCTAAATATAGGGAAAATATGTTTATATAGTACCTTAACTGTAGAAAAATGTCAGTGCCGAATGAAAAGAATCTTTATCATAAAATTTTATTTATATTGGGAGTCAGCATAATTAATTGTTGACTTAGACCCAAACTGTCCCTTTGGAAAGCTGAATTGTATAGCAATGTACCAACAAGTACGCAAAAACGGCAGATGGAGCATAATGCAGGAAAATGTGAGATTGTGCACTTTGATAAGTAGTATCAAAAGGCAGAGTATTATTTAAGTTGACAGAGTTCCAAAAATGCACAGCACAAAGGGAATTGCATGCAGTTGCAGCAAGTAATTAAGAAGCCAAATAGAATTTTAGCTTTTATTACTAGAGGGTTGGAGCTTAGAAATAGGGATATCATGTTACAAAACTACAGGGTGTCGGTGAGGCTGCATCTGGAGTACTGCATACAGTTTTGCCCTCCCATATTGAAGAAAGGATATATTGGTATTGGAGACAGTCTGAAGGAGATTCACTAGGCTGATTCCTGGGATTAATGGTTGTCTCGTCAAGAATGGCTAAATAGTTTAGCCCTTTATTAGAGTTTAGAAGAATAAGGAGTAATCTTATTGAAACATTCACGATTCTGAGGGGGCTTGACAGCTTAGGTGTTGAAAAGTACTAGTAAGGGAATCTCAAATTGGGATATTCATTTAAAACTGAGATACAAAGGAATTTCTTCTGATGGTTTTGGAATTCTCGACCCAAAGAGTTGTGTAGGCTTGATCAGAAAATATTTAGAGAGAGATTTTTGAAATATCAAGGAGTTGAGGGCCCTGAGGAGCTGGCATGACAGACTTGAGGGGCTGAATGGCCAACTTCTGCTCCTATTTCTTATGTTCTCATGACAAAGAAAAGAAAGGATACAATTACAATCTATTTTGAAATTAATTCCAATTTTTTGTTACAACTTTCAACTCTTCTAAATTAGACTGCCGTCAAAACTTACTCAACTTTAATAGAGTATTAATATTTAATAGAGCCTATTCCTATACTGCAAAGTATGATTACAATATATGAATCGTAAATTGCTTCACATTAGCATACAATGACCAACCTGCATTTATTCAAGGGCTGTCAATAAGGATTTTTTGAAACCATAGATTTGTTGCTTAGGTGCTACCAATGTTTTCCTAACGACACCAATGTGGGTAGTCAACACAAGATTGAAGCTGCAAGGAGCAAAGTTTAGAAAGGAGGATATCCATAAGACTGACTACAAAGGTATTCTCGGTGAGTCTTCCAACTGTTAAATGAACCGTCTTTGTTAGCTAATTTCCATATTTGCATTTAGAAATAAAGAACAATGAGTATTCTGGTACTTAAAAATAGGGTGTGCAAGTACGTCAGGAACAAAAAGGAAATGGAAAGCTTTACTGTTAAATTGTCATAATCATGAAAGCGAGTGCAATGGTGCAGAAAATCACTATTTACACCAGTCCATTTTAATTCAGTTTAAATTCTTTAGAATTTGAATCTACAAACATTAAGAAACATTGAAATTGGGGTTTTCCTACCCTCCCCAAACCATGAAAATTCTTACACACTGTTCAACTCTGGAATCTGGTCAGAATATTTTGTCCTCAAACCTTTCCTCATTTTTAGTGGAACTTTCATTCTGGTTTGACAGAGTAGGGTAAGTAACAGTAATTTATAGTCACAGTTTTTGCTTTTGAAAAGGGGGAAAGTCCAACCAACTGTTTAATTTTATGGGATTAAGTAGGTAAATTTATGAACTGTTTAGTTTGTATAATTATTTCCTTTGATCCACCATCCACTACAAAATTATGGCTCACAGCCTGCCCAAAAATTCCTTGCGATGAGGTGGTAGGGACCTGTTGTGATTCTGTCCCTTTTCCTTACTTTGGACTTAGTTGCTTGTTTGCCCTGATTGAGTTGTCCACACTGTTCTCAAACCCAATGAGAATCTAACACTAAGAATAACTTAGCTAAAGCGAGTATATTTCAAATATTAAAATAAACAATATTTAAGAAAAAGACTTCAGTAATATTTACAGCGCTTAGCTAAGAGATGGAATAAGTAGTAGTGCTTATTCTTGGGGTAGATGGTGTTGGAGAGGAGAAAACTCCAAGTGACTCTAAACCATCTATACAGTAAATCCAGGTGCTGTTTTCCTTCTCTTTGGTTTAGTTCAATTCAGGTCTTTGAAATAATGAAGGATTTCATGGAGTTTCCAGTGTTTCCACTTGTGGGGGAAAAGCAAAACTAGTAAATATCAATAAAAGATAGTTAAGAAATCAAATCGGGAATTCTGGAGGAACTTCTTTATCCAGAGAATAGTAAGAATATGGAACTTGTTGCAATAAGGAGTGGTTGGGGAAGATTGTATAACGGGGAACATAATAACCAGAGGGACAAAGGAATAGAAGCCAAAGCTAGGTATTAGATGAGGAAGGATGGGAGGAGCCTTGAGTAGAGCATAAATGCCAGCATAGATTGGTTGCTCTGTTTCTGTGCTGTATGATCTGTGGAATTCAATGGTGAAAATATCTTCACTGCATGGAATGCTGTAGCTGTGCCACACTGAAGAAGATTACTGACCATTATATTTGGGGATGGCGTTGGAAGGAGGCTGTAATAAAAGTGCAGTGGATATGTTGGAGCAATAGTGCAGTCAAATTTAACTGTCTCTTTCTCTTCAGATGCTTTCCAACAGATCATCACCAATGAAGGTGTGAGAACTCTCTGGAATGGGATCCTACCATCTCTTATCTTGGTCTGTAATCCTGGAATCCAGTTCATGTTTTATGAGGGTTTAAAACGGAAAGCAGGCAAAGCAGGGAGACAGGTACATGCAGGGGGTTATCATTTTCCAGTATCATTGCCTGAGCAGTTGTATTTCATTAACAGAATCATAGTTAAGGTTTACTTCTTTGAACTGTGTGGGGACAGATTATAACATGTCTTCAAATGCAAGAAAGATTAATAACCAGCAGAGTTTCAAAAGAACAACACAAGACCTTTAACAGATATGATAAATCTCTCCGCAGATACCATCCTGGGAAATATTTATGATTGGAGCCATAGCAAAAGCGATTGCCACAACAGTGACCTACCCTTTGCAAATTGTGCAGGCTATACTACGGGTATGGACAGCAAATGAGGTCAAAATTCAGCAGTTATACAAATGTATTTTCTTTTGGCTTTATCTCCCTGCTTTCTTTTGCAGTTTGAACCAAAGAAAAGGAAGTCGCAAAGTACATTTCAGGAGAGTGCCCGTGTGGTTTTTGGTCTGATATCTGAAAGACTTAAGTAAGAGTCAGCCTAAGAGATTAATTTGATTTACAGCATTTATTTTTTCACTGCTCTTTCTCGCAAGTTATTAACCACTTCAAACAATTTCTAATTTTCCATAAATTGTGTACAATTAACATTTTTAAAATAAGTTTTTCTTCTTGTTAACAGAAAAGGTGGTTTCCCAGGACTTTACAAGGGTCTTGAAGCCAAACTACTTCAAACTGTTTTTACTGCCGCTCTCATGTTCCTGGTCTACGAGAGGATTGCAGGGATTACCTTCAAAATCATGGGATTATCTAAAACAGCCAAACGTTAAATCAGCAATTCAGAAAGCTGAACTGTGAGTTGCAGGGAGACCATTCAGCTTCTGATCTGTTGCTGAAATGGCATTAGGCTGAGTAATACCACCTTGTTTCCTTGAAGTGATGCGTTAACAATGGAGAAAACTGCACAGTTAAACAATAAGCCGTTACATTTAGTTTGCAAAACAATTGCAAGATTGAGCTTTCAGTATGTGTTTCAAAAACACTTTCAAAGACAGAATGGTATATACTACAGCCACTAGGTTAATTTACATTTTACCCAGGGTAGCAAAGCTGGAAGAATGGAGGAACTCAGTTTGTATACAGGATAAAACTTGGTTGTGGGCGTTTGGTGAAAAAGTATGCATTTCACGAAGATGTTTCCATTTAGAATTAATATAATTTGTGCCACCGGCTCTGTATTTCTAGTTTACATTTTTGTTACATGTAGTTCAACCCAGTGACTAAAATGGAGTTGCTGTGAAGAACCTCCGTGAAGCGCTTTCTTCCAATGTTAAGGTGTATGTTGTTAATAAAAGGGGAATGAATAGAACATGCTGGCTCTCAGCTTGGAGGTGTTTGAGTGTTACTATATGTAGGCTATTTCCACAATTTAGTGAAATTATGTATGGAAATTGTACATTATTGAAATGAAACAAGTAAGTGTTTCCATGGCTGGGAAAGGTTGTGTGTTTTAAAACTTTTATTACAAAGTCTATGTACATTTTTTAAAGTGTCACTTTGTACAGAACCATAAATTACAGGACAGTAGTTCAGTATCACATTTCCTTTGAATCAGATCATAACAATGCTCCTCACTCAGGGTTATGGTTACCTTCTTGAACAATCATATTTTCTACATACCAGTCTGGTAGGAAAGCATATGTGCGGTCTGTGTGCACTGTATATGAAATATCTTTACCAGGTTCCCAGGAAAAAAGGGTCACCATCCTAAAAAAACAAAAAGTTTAGAGAATGTGGTTTATATTAGACCAATGGTAACAAGCTGTACAACAGAAGATCAGCAATGGCATCTCCAAACTTGACAGCTGCATGAGACAATATAGGAATCAGGAGCAGGAATAAGCCAGTTGGCCCTTTGAGCCCGCTCCACCTTTTCAATAAGATCATGACTGGTCTGATTGTAACTTCAAATCCATATTCCCACCTAGTCCTGATAACTTTAACCTCACTTGCTTAACAAGAATTGATCTATATTTACCTTAAAAATATTCAAGCACTTATGATCTTAAGAGAAAAAGTACCTAATCTCAATTTTAAATGGATGACCCTTGATTTTTAAACAGTGACCCCTACTATTATATCAGTACTCTCATGACACCAGATTATAGTCCAACAGGTTTATTTGAAATCACAAGCTTTTTGGAGTGCTGCTTCTTTGTCAGGTGATATCTGATGAAGTCTCACTTCACCTGACGTAGGAGCATTACTCTGAAAGCTTGTGATTCCAAGTAAACTTGTTGGATTATAACCTGGTGTTGTGTGACTTCTGACTTTGTCCACCCCAGTCCAACGCCGGCACCTCTGCATCATGGTTATCTCAGTAATCAGACATAATTACTTGCATAGCAACGACTGAAATTATATTAGCTTATTAGACCAATTAGATCCCATGGTTCAGACAGGTCAGGGCTTCCTTCTTATGATGTGGAGAAGAAATGATAAAGTACTGTAATGTTAATACACTTTGCTCATCAGTACATTTTAGTAGTAAATTAGTCTGACTTGGGATTAAAAAAAAAGTAATGGCTGAATTAATATTTATCCACCATTACATTTACTTTGCCTGTTCCTTTGCTAGTTAATCTTTTTCTCCTTGACATTGTTTAATGAAATTTTAAAAAATAAACTGTTTACAGAACTTAGCCAGTTTTGTCTTCAGCCTTGAACTCAACTGTTCGTGAAAAATATATTTCTGATTGGAGTTCAATTTTTTTTTCAAGTCATTGATTTCAACCAATTGGATGTTTTGAAGTTCGATCCGATTAGTCAGATTAATTTATGAATATATAATGAGTTTAGTCTGAAATTTAAATGACTGGACTGAATGATCGCCTTGCCCATCCCAATTGCTGTACCCAAGATATAGGTCATGACATTTAACATGTCCACAGATTAGCTTCAAAAGTGTGTTATTATCTGAAATTAAAGCTAAAGTTGCACAGTCCTATCAGACCACAGGGCTGCTCTTTCATTAGAGAAAGACAGTTGGTGGCAGTTTAATCTGAGAGGCACCATGCCTCTAGTGAGGGGGAAGACATTGAGAAGGTGAGACCAATATTCCTCAGCTGGTTTGGGAATTGGAGCCAGTATGTTGGCATCACTGTGCATTGCAAACCAGCCGTCCTGCCAACTGAGCTAACCAATCCCTGTATCTGAAATAGCATCTGAGGAAAACAGAAGTCTAAGAATTCTTAAGGAGAACTGAATTAAATCATACCGGTGATCATCTCGGGTCACCGCTTTCTTCACAAAGGACAGAAAAGCGTTGCAGAAATTTAGACAGACTGCAGGCTTCCAGCAATTCCGTTCATTCTGTTTGAGATGGAAACAAAAGTGTCTTTAATTTGAAGTCTGGCATAAAGAGAGGGGCATTACTACTGTAATCATATTTTTACATAAAACCCCATGCAGTCTGCTTCAGGAATACAGAAATTGGCCATTTACCTCACTACAGCCGATCAGTACAATTGTGGCATCTGCCCAAGTTAGACAATGTCCTCAGATGATCAACCATCATGTGTGAGAATCAGTCCTATCCAGAAACAAGAGGCTAAACAGCATCCTAACTGCTGACTTATCATCTGAGGAGAATCAAATGTGGGATCTGTTGACCTGTTCATCCATCAGAGGAGTTTCACATTTGACTCAGTTAAAACAGTCTGCAAAAGTGGGGGCTAGAGAGAAAGGTATCTTATAGAAAAGGACAACAAATCCACTCCATTTATGCACTGCAATTCAATGACAATCAAGCCAGAGTGTTAGGACGTTGCCAGGTTTTAATAAAAGAACTACTGTAATATTGTCCATACTAATTAGAGGTCATTTGTGTTACTTAGCCATTTTGCAGAGAATTTCTGTAAGGAAACTTATCTAAGTTAATCTTTGATCTGTGCTCAAAGATTAAATGGGGATTCTGATTGGAATTTGCTTATGTCTGGGAAATTCCACAACTGGTAGAAAATTCTACACTGAACGCACCAACCAACGACTTCAGTATATTTCACCACGTTAATAAGTGGAGGCCTGAGTTATTATTAAGAATCTACATTATTAAACAAAATGCATTTGCTGTAAGTGGAAGGTATTACGACGAACTGTTCCCACTTTGAGTTGCACCGGAAACCACACAAGGACGTGGAAATCCAGTCTTGAACAATTTGATTGTGCGTTCGAAGATAGAGTTATCATTGGAGATATCTTTTCCTTGTAACTGGAGTGAGCTAGAACTTTGGGCAGTGTTTCAGATTGTGATTTTTGTTATTGTTTTAGTATCACTGTAATTCTTGTTATTCAGTTGGTTAAATTACAGTTTAGCAATAATTCTGTGGGTGTTCCTGGTAAAATCAATGAAGTGGCAAGATTTACAGTTTTCACTTATTGTCTATTTTATACTCCCCCCAACCATTTTCAATAGTTAAGCAGCTGGCAGTCCATAACTTTGAGAATTACTTCTAAAGTTTAATTGATTTTAAATGTGCAAACCTTGACAAGATGATGAATCTTCATCGTTTCAAAAGACTGAAGAGAAACTACCATCCCATTATCATCTCTAAAGCCTGTGATTATCCGAGGTACTCCAGGCAGAAAAGACTGTGCCCACCATTTGATCAATTTAAATCTGTGTAGACAAGATTCACACTCTCAAATTCCTTTGCTGTATCCATTGTTGAGATGCATTTCATTAAGCAAATGTTACACTTGACAACCGGAGCTCCAGTTCCTGCAGCTTCATTGTGCATGAAACAACTATGTATTAGTGGGAGTGATAAATGTATTATGATCACTCAAGATTGTTAACAGCATTTAAAAATAGAGTGTAGAGAAGCATTATCAGAATTCTTGAATGTAAAGTAAGGGCTCCTTAGTGTCGCTTGGCAGAGTCAGAGGGTCAAAGCCCTCACTGATCCTTTTAACAGTTCAGTTAAATTGCACACTTAATTCAGGTAAGAGCAAATTTGTGCTGTAATCTATGATGGAGGTAAATGAAATTAGGCTTTTTTAAAAACAAGTCTGCCTTATACATTTTGCTTCATTTGATCATTCAGCTAATGAACACACTTATTAAAAAACCCTCCTTTCTGCAGCACTGTCATTTTCTCCCTTTTGAATTGTGTCTCCCCCTTCCCTGGCTTCCACTTTATACTGGGACAAGTCCTACAGTCCTGCCAAGGTTTGTATAATCAGCATCTGTGTGTGGACCTGTTACTTCCAGTCTTTTCACCCACAGCAGTGATTGCTACCAATACCCTGTATGTTGGTTGTGTTATTTTGAAATTTTATCAAAATATCAAAAAAGGTATATTAATACTGTTATTTTAAAAAGGAATTCTTTCTCATTTTAAAAATATCTGGGAAATAAAGATGACTGATGCTTCAGTTTCACACACTCAGGATAAAATTGCTTTTAAAAACCCGAGTTCTCCGTGTAGCCAAGCATAGATGTGGATATTTACTATTTACAACAGTCGAGGATCTTGGATAACATTGCAGCTGTGCTCTGTAGGTGTTTACAGGAATATATTCATTAGGTGGATGTGCCATTTAGAATAGCTTAATTTAATCTTCCCAATGGGGATGCCTGAGGCAAAGGCTACCAACCTGTGAAAATTCCTCTCTTGGTTTGGACTGTAAATCTCTCTGCTCGTCTTTAGTTCCACATAACACTGGGGAGCCTTCAGCCTTGGGTCAGAGTTGTCTTTGCAGTCCACCTCACCAGAGAATACAAGTGAATGGCCATTCAACCGAGTTCGAACCACACAACAAAATGCTTCATTAGTGTTTACCACACCTGCTGGATTAGGATTCCCACCTGGTTTATCTGAAAAAAATACTATGAATGTTTTCACTTTTCTATCCTCATCTGTCAAACTCAGTCATACTAGGGTTAACTCCTGGAATACTAGGTGGCCTTCAGTTTTGCATTTTACTTTTCATGCTGTTCATACAAAAACTTTAATGAGTGCTTCCTGCTTTTTGAGCATTTAACCATCAACCAATATCTGTACAAAAGCAAAATACCACGTGTGCCAGAAATCCGAAATAAAAACAATGCTGGAAATCCTCAATTGGTCAGTGAAAGATTAACTTCTGTCTCAGCGATGCTGTCTGACCTGTTGAGTATTTCCAAAATTTTCTGTTTCCATGAATATTTACACATGTATGTTTTTCAGTGGTAATCACTAAATAGTAATCAAAGTGCCTCATCTGCTGCCCTAGCTGAGGTCAGTTAATGTCACACAAACTGGGATCATTATTGACCTATGTTGCCACACAAATGTGAACAAAGTATGATTTACTTTCTAGTATGATCTTCCAGTATTTATCAAGGGAATTCTGAGAGAGATTTCTATACCTCTATTCCTGCTTATCTTTATAAAACGTAGTTATGTTCCCAACAGATATTTGCTTCGTTGCATTCAAACAAACAACAGTGATTTCACCTACTGTTTAGTTAAGTTCCCAATTTAATATTCTCTTTTAAATGAGACTGGGCAAGTACATGCCTATATTAGGATTCCAGCAAAGTCTAATAATGAGAAAGTTCATTCTCTTATCTACTTGTGCTGTGAAAAACTCTCAGTGACACACTTATAGATTGCATCCTTTAAAAACTTGGTTGTGGCTAGAGAGACTCTTTTGAACTTTATAATATGGAGTTGAAATATGTAGCTATAGCTGGTAAGAAAACTGTGAAATAATGAAGACTGTCATGAAGCATGAGAGTCATAGATTCATACAGCACGGAAAAAGGCCCTTCATCCAACTTGTCTGCATCAACCAGATATCCTAAACTGAACTTGTCCCATTTGCCAGCATTTGGCCCATATCTCTCTAAACCTTTCCTGTCCGTGTATCTGTTCAAATATCTTTTACACTGTACCTGCTTTTACCATTTCCTCTGGCAGCTCATTCCATGCATGCACCACCTTCTGTGTGAAAAAGTTGCCTGTCAGGCCCTTTTAAATCTTTCCCCTCTCACCTTACACCTATGCCTTCCTAGTTTTGGACTCTCCCACCCAGGGAAAAGGCCTTGGCTATTTATCCTATCCATGCCCCTCATGATTTTATAAACTTCTAAGGTCACCCCTCAGCCTCTGATGCTCCAGGAAAAATAGCCTTAGCCTATTGAGCCTCTCCCTATAGCTCAAACCCTCCAACACCGGCAACATCCTTGGTAAATCTTTTCTGAACCCTTTCAAGTTTCACAACATTGTTCCTGTAGCAGGGAGATCAGAATTGAACAAAGTATTCCAAAAGTGGCCTAACCAATGAGCTGTACAGCTACAACATGGCATCCCAAATGCTATAGTCCACTTTCAAGGAACTATGCACCTGCACCCCTAGGTCTCTTTGTTTGGCAACACTCCCCAGGGCCCTACCATTAACTGTTTCAGTCCTGAAATATTTAGTTCCATTGTGGTTCGCCAGAGATGGGTACTTCTTCTGCAGGAAGCACTGTTTGTCCAGGATGGCATCTGCAATACTCTTGCTCATATTAATGTCATGTTGGCTCCTGTTCATGAATACAATTTTTCCTCTTTATGGCAGATAGATAGCAAAAGATTAAATAAGATGGGGGTGAAAGTCATCATTTCACTAGGCCAATTATTTGGGACTGAGATGAGTAGCAATTATTTCACCCAAAAGATGATGGAATTCTCTACCCAATAGCTTATGGATATTCCATTGCTGAATAGAAAAATATTCAATCTCTCAAGGTATTAAGGGATATGGGGGAGTGGGCAGGAAAGTGGTGTTAAAGCCTACAGTCAGCCTTGATTGTATTATATTGTGGAGCAGGCTCGACAGGTCATATGGTCTGTTCCTTTTTCTTGTATTTAATTGAAGTGGATGATCAATGGCATTTTTAAACTGGTCTTTATAGGTTGAACATTCTTATGGCTCTTCGTGGTCACAGTAATAAACACAAAATCAGCTTTAGAGTCATAGATTCATACAGCATTGAAACTGCAAAATTTCAACATGTAAAAGGCATCTGGAAGAGTATATGAATAGGAGACATAGAGATGTACAGGATGGAAACAGACCTTTCGGTGCAACTCATCCACACCGACCAGACATCCCAATCTGACCCAGTCCCATTTGCCATCATTTGGCCTACGTCCTGGCTGATGGAGTTTAATTTTGATAAATGTGAGGTGCTGCATTTTGGGAAGGCAAATCAGGGCAGAACTTATACACTTAATGTGAGGTCTGGGGAGAACTGCTGAACAAAGAGACCTTGGAATGCAGTTTCATAGTTCATTGAAAGTGGAGTTGCAGGTAGACAGGGTAGTGAAGAAGGTATTTGGTATGTTTGCCTTTATTGGTCAGTCCATTGAACATACAAGTTGGGAGGTCATGTTGCGGCTGTGCAGGACATTGGTTAAGCCACTTTTGGAATTACTGATTTCAATTCTGGTCTCCCTGCTATGAGAAATGCTGGCAATTGGGACTAGGTTAATTTATTTATCTAGTCGGCATGTATGAGTTGGACTAAAGGATCAGTTTCCATGTTGTACATCTGACTCTAAACACTTCCTATTCATATACCCATCCAGATGCTTTTTAAATGTTGTAATTGTACCAGCCTACACCACTTCCTCTGGCAGCTTGTTCATGCACCAACCTCTACGTGAAAAAGTTACCCCTCAGGTACCTTTTAAATCATTCCCAGCTCACCTTGAACTGAGAAGTTAAAGTTATCTTAACCAACTTAATCTGACCATTGCAATGCTTTGCCATCTGGACTGTTTTGAAGCAATGAGGGATTTGGATAAATCACTCACCTGCACACAAGTACTGTTCAAACTTATATCCTCCATATATCAATTCCTCCTGTATTTCGGTCCGCTGCTCTCTCTGCCGTCTGGCTTCCTCAGTCTCCACCTCACTCATGTAATAGGTTCCATTAAACAGAGTCACTGCCAACATCCATCCCTCTCGATTCTCATAAGGGGTGGTTAGAATTTTAGTCAGATGTCCTCTCCACGTGATGAAGTCTGTGTGTAGCTGACTATAAAGGAGAAACAGACATAGACAATCTCATAAACCTACAAAACATACACAAGAAAGAAAACAGCACAGTTGATCTGTTTCCATTGCCAACAGCCAGGAATATACAAGGTTAATACTATTATTAACTATAATAGTTAGCTTGCAATAGGAAAGTCTTGCCTGCGCACTATAGTAGGATGAAGGGCAGAGTATGAAGATTTGAATGTGTTGACAAATTTCATACTCTCTGCATTAACTTTGGCAACTCCAGTTATATGAATGCAAAACCTTTTGCATTACATCCCCTAAAGATTATAACTGCAGCCTGAATCCAGTTAGAGCTCAAGGTGACAGTACAGTAAGATTCCCTGAAGAAATAAATTTCACTTCTCTTCATAATCAGTTCAGGCCTTAATTCATGATTTTCAAAACAAAGTTCAGCTTTGTTCTTTTTACACCACACAGAGCTTGTTGTTTTCACTTAAGAGCCAGGGGACCCGGGTTCGATTCCACCCCCGGGCAAATGTCTTTGTGGAGTTTACACATGCTTCCCGTGTCTGCGTGGGTTTCCTCCGGTTTCCTCCCACCATCCGAAAATGTGCAGGCTAGGTGTATTGGCCGTGGGGAAATTGCCCGAAGTGTTTAGGGATGTGTAGATTAGGTGGGTTATAGGGGGATGGGTCTGGGTGGGATGCTCTTAGGATCGGTGTGGACATGTTGGGCCGAAGGGCCTGTTTCCACACTGTAGGGATTCTATGATCTTATTGAGTAAGTGTCGAAAAGGTACCCATCGGAACACAAAATAAAAGGACAGAAAATTTAGCAGTCAAGATCACATTCCTTCATTGGAAGACTATCTTGTCATATAAATGCACATGACCATAATGTGCTTAGTTACCTTAGTTACCATAGTTAATAGCAAATAAACTGATTACTCCAGGGTGACATTTTCACACAATGACATAAGAAACTAAATACCTATGTCATAAAAAAAAATTACACGTATTTCCTGATTGGAGAATGGGCTGGCATACTAGGCCAGACCTTGGCTTTTCAGTTATGAGTCAGGGTTCAAATATATCCTCGGATAATTGTAAGGTCATATATAAATGGGCTTAATCAGTTCCTGGTGACAAAGTAGAAGTCTGCCCCCAATTCAAGACTAAACTAACACTTTCCACTGAGTTGCTGATGTGGATTTGAGGGAAACTCTTCTGAGGTGGAAACTAAATATGGTTCAAGGAAGAGTCAAAGAAAATTCACTCTGTAGTTACCTGCAGACAGTTGGATGTTGACAATGGATTCTGAAATTGAAAATGTTTCATTCCCTCAAAAGTTTTGTTACAAACGATACTGTTTTACAGCTAACATCACAACTTACTTTGACGAAGCAGATGATTTGTTATCACCAGACAGCGTGGGGAATTTGTGTTTGTTCAATAATATCCACTTCAGGATATGGTCCAGCTTTTCCTTAATATTATCATTCCTTTTTATGTATCTGTCTTTGTAACCATCACGTAGATTGAAATTTGGATTCTTGCTGGCGGGTTTCACACAGTATTTTAGTTGCCTGGCATCATTGAAGAGCTGGCGACGTGAATCTAATGAGAAACAGCCAATCTCAACAGGCTGCCTGTAGTCAGGAAAGCTCTTGTCATAATAGTCTGGCTGTACAGGAAGGGTAAGTTTACAAGTGTCTGCATTGTTTGTGTGTGAAATGAATCGTTCATCCGTTTCTGTTTTCAGTAATTTAATTTCACTTTCTTGTGTATCACCTGCTTTTCGTTTAAAGACTCCACTACGAGATGATTCCCGACTGGTGTTGAAATGTCGATTCATATTGTTACACTTGTTGACTTAATTAAAAAAAATCTGCAAGAAATTAAGAAAAACAACAGATTAAATGTAAATCAACAGAAAAGAGCAATGTTATGTGACAGTTACTTTACCTGCAGGGAGATTATTTCAGGAGCTCAGTTAGTAAAGGCAGTAGGTAACTAAACATTGACCATTAATCCTACAAATAAAAACAAAATACTCTGGATGCTGGAGATCTGAAATTAAAACAGGAAATGCTGGAGAAACTCAGCAGGTCTGGCAGCATCTGTTTTTGTATCTCCATCTACAAATGTTGCCAGAGTTTTTCCAGTACTCTGTACTATAAAACGAAAACAAATCCCAATTCAATTCTTAGTCAATATTTGATTTGTTGATCAAGGTGCAATAAGCAATTTCTCTCTCTCTAGAAGAGGTAGGAGGAAATATAGAGAATCAGCCAGAGCATGAGTCTGCAACGTAATGACCTACGCTGTGGTTGTCGGTCAGGAAAATGGAACTTGCTCTGGATGCCTGAAAACTGTCCATTCTTAGACATGAAGAATAGGTAATTGTGGTCCAGCTTGAGTGAGCACTTTCAATAGAAAAGTAACTTGGACTTGCCTACTCAACTTGGGTTATTCCAGATGAAAAATTTAAAATCACTTGTTTTAATAGGAATAAATTATCCATTTAAAATTTAGCAAGTAAACACACAAATGTGAATGACAAATTTCACACAAAGCGTATTTTATATTAATCAATAAGATAGTGACTGGGCATTAAAGATGTTCAGAACACAGGCATTTAAGTTAATTAAAAGAGTTTGCAAATACACTGAACTATCCGGTATAACCATTTTATAATGTCTTTCAATTTCCATAATTACAATACATTTCATTTCCTTTTATCATGGGTGATTGTTAAAAATAAAATTGTTTTATTATACAAACTATGAACTCCTACTTTATTACAGTCCACTCTTGACAATTCAAACAACTTTTTTGCACAATATTAGAATTACCAGATGATTTGTATTACTATGACAATATATTGAACAGAAGGGAACAGTTAAATATTCCATAATGATTACAAAAGGAAGTTTGATGCACAGGTTCCATAGAATGCCATTGCAAAGATAGGACATTTGGTCCGAATGGTCTGTGTTGGGTGTTGTTCAATTACAACATGGTGATGTTGATCAGGCCGTGACTCTTAATTATTCTGTATGATGGACAGCAATGGGAATACACTTGGAAAAGCAATTCCTGATGTTTCCTATTTCTTGGGACTGGATGAAACATGAGGTAAGTGGCAAGTATGATTTTAATCTAATCAAAACGTTTGCACACACACTTCAGTAACCTTTTGTGGGGTGAAGTTGGGTCCAGCTCACACCAGTTCAATTTACAGTTTCACGGTTGGAATCTGTGCAATGCCCTCCAATTCTTTCATGCTCCTACCCTCTGAACAAGACCTATTGCTATCTTTAGAAACAGAAACACTTGAGGAAGGGTCACTCAACCTGAAACATTAACTCTGATTTCTTTCCACAGAAGCTACCAGACCTGCTGAGCTCTTCCAGCCATTTTCTGTTTTTGTGTCTGATTTAGGGCATCTACAGTATTGCTACCTTGTCTGGTTTGCCTTACATTGTTGCCCACTATATTTTCTTAGAAGTTATTTGTGATTGCATATTGTATCAGATGGCTTGGTTATACAAGAGGAGATACACAAGAATTGCCTTCAAAATGCTTGTCCATTTATTTTCATGAATCTTACCTCTTTACTGCTTGCTGCAAATAAACATCTTTGTTGTTTTACTTTGCTTCTTTTGGTGACCAAAATTAATCCAATATTGAAAGCATGGCTTTATTTGTTTTGCATTCAGACTCAACAACATACTTGTATTGGATGGTACTGGAATTATTTTTTGGCATGTAATTAATCTTAGTAACAAAGATCTCACTGCTGGTTTCGTTGTTACAGATCAACGTTTTAACTATTGCCAAATTCTCATCACACTCCACCAATAACCAAGGTTTGTGCCAATCACACATTATTTTTCCTTAACAAATAGAATGAAATATGACTCAGCAATAATATTTTCCTATTTTATTAAACATAGACACCTTCCTTTGGTGCAATTTAGTATCATTAGATGGCAGATCACTCGTGAAATATATCATGTTGCTCAGGCATGCAGACCAGGAGTGTCATTTAGAATGGGGGAAGCTGATGACAGGGCAACAGAGGGAGGAGCGTGGAATTAGCCCTGGCATCTCTGAACCAGAAGAAACAGTTAGATAGGACCTCTACTTAGAGAGTCATAGACCCGGTTAGTAATTAAATGCAAACCTTGGAAGAGGACAGGAATTGGCCCAGCCACAACACACCATTTGTGCACCTCCTTGCAATATCAGATTGTCTTCATAAACTTGGCAGCTCGAATGAGACAATCAAGGGTTGCTATTGCCTGTGGAACTGACCATTTTAAAAAGTACATAAGAGGCCATAATGTTAACCTAATATAGTCCTTCTGTAAATGGTAATTACATAGGGTCTGTTTCTGTACTGCGCAACTTTTTGGTCCAACTAGTCTATGCCGAACATAATCCCAAACTAAACTAGTCCCACCTGGGCCCGCTCCGGGCCCATATCCCTTCAAACCTTTCCTATTCATGTACTTATCCAAATGTCGTAACTGTTCTGTCATCTACCACTTTCTCAGGAAGTTCATTCCACATGCGAACCACCCTCTGTATAAAATATGTGCCCCTCATGTCTTTTTAAAATATCTCCCCCTTCATCTTGAAATCTCCCATCTTAGGGAAAAGACCACTACTATTAACCCTATCTATACACCTCATGATTTTATAAACCTCTTATAAGGTCACCCCTCAACCTCCTAGACTCCCGTGGAGATTCCCAGCCTTTCTTTATAACTGAAACCTTCCACACCCCAGCAACATCCTGGTAAATCTCTTTTGAACCTTCCCTAGCTGAATAACATCCTTCCCTCAACAGGATGACCAGAACTGGATACAGTAATCCAGAAGAGGCCTCACCAATGTCCTGTACAACCTCAGCATGACTTTTCAACTCCTATACTCAAAGGACTGAGCAATGAAGGCAAGCACGCTAAACACCTTTTTAAAACCACCTTGTCTATGTATGATGCAGACTTCAAAGAATTATGTACCTGAACCCCGAGGTCCCTCCGTTCTACAACAATACCCATGGTTCCACCATCAATTGTACAAGTTCTGCTCCTGTTTCTTGTACCAAAAAGCAATATCTTTCATTTATCCCCATTGAACTCTGTCGGCCATTTTGCAGCCCATTGACCCATTTGATCAAGATCCCTTTGTAATCTTAGAATACTTTCTGAACTGTCTACTATGTCACCCAGTTTAGTGTCAATATTAACAAATCTCAGTAAGGATCAGGAGAAGGTAATTTAATCCTTCGAGTCTGTTTCACCAATCAAGGAGATTGTGGCTAATCTGTGACATAACTCAATATGCTTGCACGTTCCTAAGTACCGTTGATTTATCAGAATGAAAATGAAAAGGTGGTCTAACATCAAAATTGCAGAAATGAGTTACAAACATCCACCACCATATGAGCAGAAGTTTTTTCTTAATTTCACACTTAAAAAGCTCTGATTCTAATTTTCAGGGTATGTTTGCTTGTCCAAAACTCTTCAAACAGCAGTAATAGTTTCCATCTACCTGTTCCTTTTCTCATCTAAAAGAGATATGATCAAATTATCCCTTAACTTTGAATTCCACAGAACATAACCATAGTTTATATAACCTGTTCTTGTAATTTTCCCCAGAATCCTGTATCATTCTAGTAAACCAATGCTATAATTCCTCCAAGGCTAATCTCCTTTTCTCAATGTGCAGTGTTCAGATCTGAACATTGCACTTTAAACCTACCCAGAACTTTGTACAGCTCAAACATTACTTCTATTCCTTATGTTCTAGTCCTCTGGATATAAGGGTCAGAATCCCATTAGCCTTTTTAAAAAAAAATATTTTCTGTATGTGTTCATGAGACTTTAATGGTCTATGTAGTCAGACTTTCCTATGCCTGTTTAGATCTTATAGCACTAAGTTTTCACCATTCAGAAGATACACTGTTCCCTGGTCCAAATGCTTGACTTTTTTGCCCCTACTGAAAGCTACTTGCCATAGTTTTATTCATTCACTCAATTAATTAATTGCTCTTTGCAATTTTATGCTTCCATCTACATAGCATTATAAGCAATCTCGTGTCATCTCCAAATTTGGATATCCTGTCATGAATAAACAGATTATAGTACCATCACATCCTGCCAATCGGAAGACCTTCCCATTATCCCTACAATGTCCTGTTGCTTTGCAAATTTCTGAACCAGGTTAACAATTTGCCTTTAATTGAATTAGCTCGAGTTTTTGTTAACATGTTTAAAGGTGGACTGAAATACCTTCTGGAAGTCCAAAGAGATAACATCCATTGAAATTCCCTTGTCCATCACATTAGCCATCTCTTCAAAAACTTCAAATCAGATTTATCAGACATGATCCATCTTTTACAAGCCCAAGCTGCCTTTCTCTAATCAGTTCAAAAGTTAACGTATCAGGTTAGTTACTTTGTTTGCTAACTTAAGTACTGTCTGTAACAGGAATAACTAGTACACAATTTTTATTTTTAAGATATTTAAAAATCTAACTTAATCCTTTTTTCTGTATTTTTAAAATGATACCACCTCAAGAAGTTAGTTAAAATGTACTTTAAAAAACTTGAGTACTACATTCATGTTGCAGATACAAATAGGAATTTTGAAAAATCATGACAGTGCAATCTGATCTGCTAGAACTATTTGTGAACAGCAAGAGGCAATATTATTCAGTCATAACATTCAATCTGGACCTGCTTTATATTTGTTTTTTAATCAAAAAATTTCTAGCCAAACAGGATTGTATTTATAAAAATCAAAAGAATTGCAGAATCTGTAAATCAGAAACGAAAAACAGAAATTGCTGTAAAAGCTCAGGTCTGGCAGTATCTGTGGAGAAATCAGAGTTAACGTTTTGGGTTGAGTGACCCTTCCTCAGAATTGACTGAGTCAGAATAAAAGGGATACTCATCTAAAACAGAGGTGCAAAGGAATTTCTTCTTTTGGAAAGCAACGATATCTGGAATTCTCTACCTTTGAATTGGGGAGGCTATATCAAAAAATATTTAAAGAGGAGGTTGATAGATTTCTGAAATATCAAGGAGTCAAGAGCTATGATAAACAAAAGAGTTCAGGTTTGGTGCAGATTAGCCATGATCTTATAGAATAAAGGGAGAATAAGGGCTGAACAACCTATCTGTTACTTGTGTTTTTGTTAAAAGGTTATCATTGAACTATTCTTTTTTAAAAATCGGCTAGCTTGAAGATGCTGAATTCTATTGAGCTCGATTCTTCCAGCAATGGCTGCCCTCTGGTCCCTTACTCTGACTGAGCATTCTTCACATTATGAACCTAGGTATTAAATTTCAACAAGCTGCTTGACCATGGACACTCATGCTCAATCCTGCAATTAAAGATCCACTTTCCAACAGGGTTACTGGGCAAAGATCAGGAAGCAATCAAAGGTTATTAGAACCTGCTGCTCTCAGAATTTTTGCAGCATATTTGTGAATTGCCAGGTTAGCAATTAATATTCAGTTTGTACATAAAAGAAAGCTAGATTTCAGTTTTCATGTGCATTTTTTCCTTTCTGTAAGGCTTATAAATTCAATCAACTGGTTATTAAAGGGACTGAACATTTTCTTTGCAACAGGTCAATTAGTAATCAATACAACATTAAAATACAGTCATGACACCTCTTATTTTACAGCCAATCTGCAGGGCACACAGAGCAACCTTCCCTCACTATTTATGAACTTTCTTTTCCCTTTCTCCCAAACACAATTAATAATTAAGGGATAGAGGGCTGGCAGGCTGAGGAATGCTTCACTGGGTTATGAGGGCAAGCCACTTCACATAAGCTGCATTTAAGCCAAACATTTCTCAACAGCATTGCATTGTCTATATTAGTAGCAATAATACTTTCTCTACCTAAATATAACCTCTGATTAGGTCACCACGTAATCCACTACCATCAAGAGAACAAACACATTCATTATTTGCCAAGTATTATTTATTGACTTGTTTACAGAACAGTTGCTGACTTTTTAAAAAGCAGAAAAAAATTGACAAAAACCTAACTGCATTTTACAAAAGAAAAATACAATATTTACAAATCTATATCTACAGACTACAAACCACTAATAAAAAGCTGGTTTCAAATTGAGAGACAATTATAAGCTACATTGCCATAAAAGATCTCTCTATTTATACAGAGCCAGGACAATCTCAATTCTTTTGAAGCCAAAGTTTTAAAAACTCGACAACAGAATGAATTTAGTGACATTTGCTTTTCATTTCTCAAATTTGGGTTCAAATCCAGTTGTGCTAAGGGAATGAAAGTTTTTTTTCTGCAAGAATCCCACAACAAATGGGTTTGAGTAAAATCTCAAACGGAGAAGCAAGTTACCGGCTGGAAATTGCCGATCTCGCTCATTGAGACGAGAGGGCAGGTGCTGAGATTTTAAGTACGGACAACATTGCACTGTGTGCGAATGTCTGGGACAATCTACAAGAGTGAATTTAATCTGCACCTGAACCAGAGCTTCCCCTTTCACTCCCCCACCGAGTTGAAACAGTGAACCGGGGGTCAAAATTTAGGAAAGGTCCCTGTCGACCTCTCTCATGTATTCCGATCGGGCCTTTCAGTCGCTGAGAGGTCGGAGCTCCGGAGTCTGGGGAGAGGCGGCGGGAGTATCCCTTAAAGCCCTCGAACAGCTTCATTCAGCAGAAAGGAGGAGAAATCAACAAACCCGCGCTTCCAACTTCAACACGGTACCACTGCCCTTCTCCGCGGGAGAAGGGATCACACCACCACCACCGAGTCCGAGCGCGAAATGGCGCCGGAAAACCAGGCACCACCGCCTTCAACCTCCGGGTGAAAACATACTCCTCACCCCCCAAAACAAAACCCCAAACAACTCCATCTAATGTAGGAGCATCTAATGCTTTACTTCACCTTTTAAAAAAAAACTTACAGTTATAATTTGAGAAATAGTGCGTTTAAACATTAAGTTGGATTTGGTTCTTTATTCGAATAATTTTTAAAAATCACGAATTTCAATCAATTAAAGACGCAGGTAAAAACGTCAGATCTCTGCGCCGTTGTTTGTCTGTCGCGGAGTGATTACGCAGAGGTTGTTGGGGAAGGACTAAGAGGCTGTGGCGTCTAAATGAAGGCAGAGGTGACTATGGCTCACGTAGTTTTGTTGTTGGAATGTGGTCTCCATACTTGACTATTTCATCGCACTTCTGATTGGTCTCCTACAGTCTTCTCTAAACTGGAGGACATACCAAATATGTTTCAGAGATAGTAGGAACTGCACATGCTGGAGAATCTGAGATAACAAAGTGCAGAGCTGGATGAACACAGGCCAAGCAGCATCAGAGGAGCAGGAATGCTGACGTTTCGGGCCTAGACCCTCCTTCAGAAATGGGGGAGGGGAAGGGGGTTCTGAAATAAATAGGGAGAGAGGGGGAGGCGGATAGAAGATGGATAGAGGAGCAGATGGGTGGAGAGGAGACAGACCGGTCAAAGAGGCGGAGATGGAGCCAGTAAAGGTGAGTGTAGGTAGTGAGGAGATAGGTCAGTCCAGGGAGGACGGACAGGTCAAGGGGGCGGGATGAG